CTGAGGTAGGATAGTAAGAAGCTAGGAAAATTCCTGGGCAAGTAGAATGGGGAAAATGACACAATGATTAAATAAGGCCAAACAATTTGAACTGGCAGACAGCCAGTGAATTGCAAGACCTTATCTTCCCCAACCAAAGTCACTGGAGAACAAAGAGCTGATACCTCTCCTCTCTGACCAGAGAACACGTAGCTTAAATCACCCTGGTCAGGGAGATGAGGACCGAGACCCAGTTAATGCCAACTATGCCAGCCAAACGCAAGGACGGATGAAGCTGGGGGGACACATAACAAGGTGCTTCTCCTCCAAGAACAGGCTGGTAATACCCTGAAAAATGGAACAGCCAGGCTAGAAGGTGCTGGTGTGCCTGGAGGGAGAGCGGGCCCACATCACGGGCGTGGGGAGAAGAGAAGGCGGAAAGCAGGATTCCTAAAGCCAGTGAGCCAGATGGTGAGGGATGGGGCTCCAGGTCATGGGGCCCAGCAAAAGCGCAGTTAGAATGACAAAAACCCAAACAACCCAATTAAAAAACAGGAAACAGACAAATGACCAACAAGATGCTCCCCGTCACTAATCATTAGGGAAATGCAGATCAAAACCACAAGACACCACCTCATGCTCAGGAGAATGGCTGCTACTTTAAAAACAACAACAAAAAACCCAAATCTTATGTTATGCATATTTTACCACAATAAAAGAGTTGGAAATAAAAAGTATGACAGGAAGCCATTTTGTAATAGAACAGAATACAGAAATTTTAAAAAAAAAATAGCCACAATCTCATCACTCGAATTAGTTGAATATTAATGAACTCTCTTAAGGATGAATGGATAGCTGTGTTATTTCCCATTCTGTGGATAAAATAAAGCCTATTTAACCAATCCCCTATTATCGAACTTTTCCCCTCATCAGAGGATATGTTTTTATTGATTTGAGAGAGAGATGAAGAGGGAGAGAGAGAAGCATCAATGTGAGAGAGAAACATCATGAGTTGCCTCCAACCAGGGATCAAACGCAAAACCTGGGTATGTGCCCTGACCATGAATCAAACCCACAACCCTTCAGTGCACGGGACGGTGCCCCCACCAACTGAGCCACACGGGCCAGGGCCTATTACTGAACATTTTGATGGTTTCCAATTGTTTACTATTACAAACACTTTTGTGATTAAATTTCATGTATATTTTTAAGTTTTTCTATTCAGAGAAGGGGGGAACATTAGGATGGGTGACAGGTCATCAGAGAAGGTGGGCAGGGAGCACAGCCCCTGCTTGGAGAGGACCAGGGGCTCCAGCGCTTTAGGATAGAGAAGAGCTGCCTTAGTTCAGGGTCCCACACGCTTGACTGCGTCCCCGAATCCGGAAGGAGTCTTCATTTGAGGAAGATTCACGTCAGTAGGTCCAGGATCGGGCCTGGGTTCTGCATTTCTAACAGGTTCGCAGGTGTTGCTGATGCTGCAGGACCTCAGACCACCCTCGAAGGCCCCCGGCCCCGGGAGAACGGGTGAGCACACTGGAGGCTGTGGCGACAGGCCTGCCCGTGTTTCCCTCAGAACTGGGTCCAGTGGTTTGTAAAGCTCCACCTTGTTTCTACCTCACAAAGGCCAGCAAGGGGAGGGGTTCTGTCCACCTTGTGCAGGAGCCGAGAAGGGAGATGCCAGGGAGAAGCCGTGCATCCCTGGGGCCATCCCAGGGGCCATCCTTGGTGGCAGCAGGAACCAAGTGTGAAACCTCCAAGGGTCAGCTTCAGGGAAGACAGCTGGACCGGTGGGGATTTCCCCCTCTGGAGAGTGCGTGCATTTTTGTTTAACTTTTCATTCATCCTCTTAAGTTGAGGAGTACAAGGACCAGCTTCAACAATTATCCACTCATGGCCATTTCCTCCAACTGTATGAACTATTCTCAACCGATCTTTTCATTCAGAAATGTTTTACAACACATCTGCAAAATATAAGTCCTCTCTTTAAAAACATACATATTCTGTTTCATTAAGGGAGACAGATCTTTCTGGAAAGCCATGTAACAACATTTGCTAAGATAATTTGTTACAAAATAAGAATGTTAATAAAAGAATGTGTTAAGTAACAGAATTATATTTCATTTCTATCCAATGGAAAATATGCAGCATCTAAATATTTTTTCAGAAGATGAATATTAAGATATAGAAAACTGCTTGTGATATAAAATGTTAAGTAAAAAAAGGTCAGGTTACAAAACAGTACAAGCCCCATGACTTTACTTTTATAAAACCTTTACATATACAGCATATATGTTCACAGGAACCGAACTGGAATAAAATATTTCAAAATTTCAAGTGGCTTTCTGGGTAGTTTAAATGTTCTCATTGTGCTTTTCCAAATGTTCCAATTCAACAATGAGCAGGTATGACAATAATAAAAACATTCAAGGAGCCCTAACCGGTTTGGCTCAGTGGATAGAGCATTGGCCTGCGGACTGAAGGGTCCCAGGTTCGATTCCGGTCAAGGGCATGTACCTGGGTTGCAGGCACATCCCCAGTAGGGGGCGTGCAGGAGGCAGCTGATCAATGTTTCTCTCTCATCATCGATGTTTCTAACTCTCTATCCCTCTCCCTTCCTCTCTGTAAAAATCAATAAAATATATTAAAAAAAAACTTTGAGAAAAGAAAAATAGTGGTGTTGCTTCACGAAGGGCCTTTTCATTGGCAAGTCTTTGAGAGAAAAAAAAAGAAAAATTGTGGTGTTGCTTCACGAAGGGCCTTTTCATTGGCAAGTGATTGCCGGGCTCCCTTAGCCTGTAGTACCTCCCAGATAGCCCATGGTTTCTTCCCTAGGTTTAGGGGCTGTCTGCTTCAGAGCCCCAACCTGGTCCCTTTTCCTGGCTTGACTAGTTGGCTTTGGCTTGCCTGCAGACGGTGTTCCTTTCCCTCCCAGCTGCCCTGGGGTAGATCCCTTTAAGCACCCATGGGCCTGGGCCAGCAGCTTTTAGACTTAACTGATGTATTGGGCAATGACTTTCCACAATCTCATTCCTCCCCTGAGTTAACCTGAGACTGCAAAGTCACATGCTGCCGACAGGTGGCGCTGCCTTACACAAAGCACTCTGCTCCAGGGATCTGAAGCCAATTTCAGGGATCATTAAAATAGTGATTGCTGGAGAGGGCATGCCGACTGGCATAGCATTGCTACATAACAGCATGGGGACAAATTTCCACCTACCACTACTGTTACCATCACAAGGGTAGTCATTTCAATACCAAAAATGTAGGAAGACAAAAATCTCAGAGTAAAGACAGTCCTTGAAATGCAATACGTTTCATTTTTCAGAAAAACTCAATTGTGTGGTTCTTATTCTTTTTATTTTACCTCAGGCCTGTGAAAACTTGACCCTAGATCAGCGCTGGCCCTGGTCTAGACTCCAGGAACCCCGGCTCTAGCCAGGGATCCCCCAAGTTCCAATTTCTCTAAAAATTAATTTGCTTCAAATTATGAATACCATTGTGTTCCCGGTGTACAGTGGGACACACATGCTTTCCTCCACTCGTGGCTGCAGTGGAGCAGCAAGCCTCTTTTAAGCGGAGTCGTCTTTCTTAAAAACACATCATTTCTCTACTCATTCTCCTTTGCTGTCTCCTTTTGTCTACAAAGTCAGAAAACTCACCATTTCACACTAGTGGCTTCATGGTCCAGGCCTGCCTCACTCGCCAGGATCACATAAAAACCACCTCTCACCCACAACCAAAACATAAAGGAGGGGTGCTAGCCTTGCTAACTGTCAGCACGGAGCCAGTTTGCACCTCCACAGCTTTGCACTCGCAATTCCCTCCACCTGCAATGTTTTCCTGCCCTCCCACTGCCTGGCGAATGCCCATTTCCCCCCATCAAGTCAGCACAGTGTCACCTCCTCCGGAGCCACCTCCTCTGCTCGCAAGGCGCCTGGCATATAATGACCTGGGGGCACGCCTATTCTTTTTGTGATGCCAGTCCGCTGGGGCACAAACTGTTCAACTCGTAGCCCCCCTTCAGGGCTTGACACAGAGGTGTCCAATGACTCCTTGCTGATTTATTGATCCCCCATGTTGGCAATCCAACCCCAGTTAGCTTTTTCGACATCCTCCCTTGAGATCTTTTCAATAACCCCAGGAAATGCTGGCAAATGCTAGCAGGCTGATTTTTTTTTTTAAGATTTTAATTTCTTTTGTTAATGCTCAAACAAGGGTATTTTTTCTATTGATTTTTAGAGTGGAAGGGAGGGGGAAAGACAGAGAGAGAAACATCAATTGGTGGCCTCCTGCAAGTGCCCTGACCTGGGGCCGGGGATCAAACCTGCCACCAAGGTGCGTGCCCTTGACTGGAATCGAACCGGGGACCTTTTAGTCCTGGGGCTGATGCTCTAACCACTGAGCAACCGGCTGGGGCTGAGTGAGAAAAACAGGAAATCCTGGGGTCTGGAGAGCGGTGTCTGGCAAGAAAAGTACATTGGGCTTCCTGATCCCCTGAAGGACCCCCAAATGTTTTCTGGAATGTGTTAATCTCTGCCATCATTTACCAAAAAAACCTTTTTTTTAAAAATAGAGTCGAAAACATCCATGATCTATAAAATAGGAATGACTTTGTAGCAAAATAACAAATTGTGGGGTTTTTTTAAATTAAGGAGGCCCTAGCCAGTTTGCCTCAGTGGATAGAGCAATGGCCTGTGGACTGAAGAGTCCCAGGTGAGATTCTGGTCAAGGGCATGTACCTCAGTTGCAGACTCGATTCCCGGCCTTGGTCGGGGCACTTGCAGGAGGCAACCAATTGATGTTTCTCTCTCTGTCTCTCCCCCTCCCTTCCACGCTCTCTAAAAGTCAATGGGAAAATATCCTTGGGTAAGGATTAAAAAAAAAAAAAGGAGCCCTCTAGCTAATTTGGTTCAGTGGATAGAGCATCAGCCCACAGACTGAGGGATCTTGGAATCGATTCTGGTCAAGGGCATGTACTTCGGTTGCAGATTCGATACCCAGGTTGGAGCAGGCAACCAATCAATGTATCTCTCTCACATCGATGTTTCTCTCTTCCCCATTCCTTCCACTCACTCTGAAAATCAATGGAGAAAATGTCCTCTGGTGAGGAGTAACAACAAAATAATAATAAGGGGAAATCTGAAAGGACAACCCTGTATACAGAGTTGTGGTCAGTGTATAATGTAAGCCAGGAGTCCTCAAACTATGGCCCGAGAGCCGCCTGCGGCCCGCCGAAAACATTTATCCAGCCCGCTGGGTGTTTTTGCCGCCGCTGCCTGTCCTGCTTAGCAGCCGACTCGTCCCAGGCCCGCAGTGCGCATGTGTGGAATGTCTGAGGGACAGTGAACTGGCCCCCTGTTTAAAAAGTTTGAGGACCTCTGAGTAAGCTATTGATTGGTAGAGAAAGGCAAGAACATGGAGAAATACAATGTATAATGGTTACCATTTATTGAGTACTTACCATGGTCTACGCACTAGGCACAATGTTCTCTACCCATATGACCTCATTTAATCCTCATGACCATTCTAAAAAGCAGGAATTAAACTCCTCCAGGTTATAGGCTCAGAAAGGTTAAGTAACTTTCCCAAGATCAAACAGCTGAGAATGGAACCCAGGTCTAATAGCAATGCCCAAGGGTTATTTAATACTAACTTTTCCCTTTTATATCATATCTGACTACATTTTTAAAATCTCAGTTAAACATAATTTAATTCCTGTCTTGGTGAACAGGGTAGGCAGACCATGTTTTAATCTGAAGGCTCCAGAGCTCCCAAGCTTCAGGGCCTCACCACACAGACCAATCTGGGCCACAGACACACAAAGGAGACCATCCTGAATGGCCTGTGTTTTATTTTTAACAACCCAAGCATCATCTCACCTTCTTATGATTTACCTCCCTTCTTAAAATTCAGGAAATATGGTAAAGCTCAGAGGACTAATTGCTTTGATCTAGTCACTTCCTAAAAACCAATGAGAAACAGGTTAATAATCTAACTTTTCTTAATGGGTCAAGGGTAGTAATAGGTAACTCATAGGAAATATAAACGGTCTAAGTTTTTTTAAATGTTTCTTCATTCATTTGAGAATTGCAGATTAAAGCTATAGAGACACCATTTTTCACCCGTTGGACTGGCTAAAACCAGAAAGCTCCATAAAAGCTCTCCCACCCCGGTGGCTGTGACAACTGGAGCCACCCCTTCTACAGAGAGCAATTCAGCGAGATCCATCATTACTGCACACCTTCTCTGACTCAGGAGTCCCATTTCTGGGAACTCATCCTTCAGTTGTAGGTGAAAAATAACCCGCATATGCTATTTATGGCAGCAGTGGTTGCAATTGCAAAGGATTAGAAAAACCAAAATACCCCTTCATCAAAAGGGGCCTGGTTAAACAGATTATGGTATATCCATACACACATGCCACCCCAACCAAGGACAGCGACGCTCCTTCAGTGGCCAGGGAACTCTTCAAAATACTTTAAGTGGGGAAAAAAGAAACACACGAGAAACTGATAATCAGATCAGCTTGGGGGGGTGGGGGAGTGGGCAGCTGGGGTGGGAGACTTCACTGTATACAGCTGGGGTGGGAGACTTCACTGTATACTCTTTAGTACCTTTTGAATTTTGAACCATGTGAAGTATCAGGTGTTCAGAAACACAAAATTACAATATTAATCCACATGGAAGCCTTGCTTGTTACTGAGGTTTCTGGCTTAGCCCCAGCTAATTCAGTTACTGTACTCTCTCCTGCAGTATATCCTGCCTTACAGCAAACACACGGGGACTGTGAGCCAGTGGCAACATCAGGTGGGGCTCTGCTCCTCTGCCAGTTCAGGAAGGGGAGAAACCCTTAGGTCCACCAGCCCTGCACTTCCTTCCTCCGCCCACAGGTGGCGCTCTGAGGCCTGCTGCGCTGGACAGATGGCGGTGGCCTAGGGGGCACCCTGAGGCCTCAGGCTGCTGACCAAGATGCAAAGACACAGGCAGGCACAAGTACGTAACATAAAATAGAAACTAGTTTTATTTCTCTGGAAGAAGCAGGTGTCCGTAGCTGGGGCAGCCACTTTGGGGACAGCACAGGGGAAGAGCTGGGGCAGAGGAAGCTCTAGTATCCCTCCAGGAAAGCTACCCCTTTGGTCTCCTTCCAACCCTGGGGCCTTGGGCCCTGGTCCCTGCCAGAGAACTACTGGCACCAATGCTCTGCTTCCTGGGCCACTTCAGGCTATTTCCAGGCACAAGATCCTAAGAGCAGCCAAGTCCCAAAACATTGCCTATGGTGAGGCCACAAGTTACATCCTGCCGGCACCCCAGAACCCAGGGGCTCTCTGGAGAAGGACCCAGCCACGTGCTGGTCCACCTTTCAGTGTGGCCAACACATCCTCCCCGCCCAAGGTCAAGCCTGGCTTTCCCCTGGCAGGACTCGGCGACACACTCCAGCGGCAGGCCTACCAGGGTGGATGCAACCAGAGGCACGTCAGCCGCAGGCCTGCTGTGGCCACCCCCATGCTAGCCTTCACGGGCAACTTCTTGCACCTTGGCCTGGAGCACTGTGGGCTGAACCGAAGTTGCTGGGATGGTGCTGGGTGAGGGAGGGACAGGCAAGGCGGGGCTCCCAGCCTCCTGCTGCCTTAGCCTCGCTCTGCCAATGGGTGTCCGCAGGTTCTCCAGGCCTGGGATGGGCATCTTCCCACCCTTGTCAGATGGACAGGCTCAAGTGATTCCTTCAGGGCAGATCTTCTGGCTCTCCAGACAGCTCAGCGCCTAAAGGAGGAAAAACAACCAGAAAACCCTTCCATCAACAGTGGCCAGTGCAAAGAGTATGTCCAGTGCAGGAGTACGCCCAGTGGGGGAGTACACCCAGAGTACGCCCAGTGCGCCCAGAGTACGCCCAGTGCGGGAGTTCGCCCAGTGGGGGAGTTCGCCCAGTGAGGGAGTTCGCCCAGTGCGGGAGTTCGCCTAGTGCGGGAGTTCGCCCAGTGGGGGAGTTCGCCCAGTGAGGGAGTTCGCCCAGTGCGGGAGTTCGCCCAGTGGGGGAGTTCGCCCAGTGAGGGAGTTCGCCCAGTGCGGGAGTTCGCCCAGTGGGGGAGTTCGCCCAGTGAGGGAGTTCGCCCAGTGCGGGAGTTCGCCCAGTGGGGGAGTTCGCCCAGTGAGGGAGTTCGCCCAGTGCGGGAGTTCGCCCAGTGGGGGAGTTCGCCCAGTGAGGGAGTTCGCCCAGTGCGGGAGTTCGCCCAGTGGGGGAGTTCGCCCAGTGAGGGAGTTCGCCCAGTGCGGGAGTTCGCCCAGTGGGGGAGTTCGCCCAGTGAGGGAGTTCGCCCAGTGCGGGAGTTCGCCCAGTGGGGGAGTTCGCCCAGTGAGGGAGTTCGCCCAGTGCGGGAGTTCGCCCAGTGGGGGAGTTCGCCCAGTGAGGGAGTTCGCCCAGTGCGGGAGTTCGCCCAGTGGGGGAGTTCGCCCAGTGAGGGAGTTCGCCCAGTGCGGGAGTTCGCCCAGTGGGGGAGTTCGCCCAGTGAGGGAGTTCGCCCAGTGCGGGAGTTCGCCCAGTGGGGGAGTTCGCCCAGTGAGGGAGTTCGCCCAGTGCGGGAGTTCGCCCAGTGGGGGAGTTCGCCCAGTGAGGGAGTTCGCCCAGTGTTTTATAACTATTATTCTATTATATATATACATACATTTACATTTTTTTACAGAAAAGTAATGGACTTTTTTGGTTACACAGTCCTTTAAAAAGGCACTTATGCTCAAAATGTTACTTTGAACTATGAGGTGCAGAGGTGAGAAATATGTATTTAAATCATTGGGTCCCAAACTACTGCCCCTCCCCCCAGGTGGCTCGGGGTGCTGTGGGGCAGCTGGGGAAACAAGCCCCAGAAACCAGAGAGGCTCCAACGTCCTCTTTTACCTGTCAGTTCATTTGAACCACGTGCTAAAAGTCTAAGTAAAAGCACTTAGGAGAAACGGCTCTCACCTCGAACTCCCTGCGTCCTGGGATTGGGCCCAACTTCCCTCCCCCCAGCTGGGGAGCCCGTGTCTCCTGGCTGTGTGTGGCTGTGGACACCCTCGGGGAACAGGAAGGTGACAGGGTACGGGGCTCACTCACTTGTGGTGGGCAGGGCCACAGGAGCCCAGAAGGTGGCAGCCGGCTTGCTCTAGGTTCCAGTCGAACATCTCCAGCACTTTGTGGCACTCGCCTCGCGGCCGCAGACCCAACCCAAAAAGCTGCTCCACCTGAGGGCAGAGGGTGGTGCATGGGACACAGGGGGCCAAGGGGAACCAGACAAGGGTGGGGGCAGAGGAGAACCAGAGGGGGCAGGGAGTGGGAGAGAGCAGCAGAGCCAGGCTTCAGGGCCCTGAAAACCAGAGTGGGCAGGAGGTGGTGGTACCTTCAGATACTGGGCAGCCCTTTGCACGTTCCAGCTGTGGCTCTGCAGGGCCGCCTGGCACTCCTCTGTGGTCACCCCATGCACCATGGCCTGCAGCTGGGCATACCCACCCACCGGTCAGCACCAGTTGGGCCCATTCCTCTGGGCCCCTCTGACTCCTGCCCCCCTCACCCAACAGCCAGGCCTGATACTCACCATCTGGATCTTATCTGTTGGCCGTACAGCCTCTGGCCCGTCCCCTGGGCAGCCCCTCTGTGACAGCCAAGCGGTGGCCCTCAGGGCTGGCGGCCGGACCCCTGGATTGCTGTTGTTGGTGGAGAAGTTGGCCTTGGGGTCTGGGGCAGCCTGGGGCATGGGCCGAACAGTGGCAGTGGGGGCGGCAGGGGCTGGAGTGCTGGGTGGGGGCAGCAGGGGCACAGGCAAGGGGGTGGGTTCTTCGGGGCTCTGTGCCTCACGCAAGAAGCGCTGGTAGCGCTCCAGGTAGGGCGGGCGCTCAGGCAGCAGGTAGTAGTGGGTATTGCTGACCTTCTTGCCGTCGCGAACGATGGGCAGGATGCAGGGACCAGCCCGTGGGCCTGGTGCCTGGATCACCTGGGGTGTGGCGTACTTGGGGTCTGATGCAAAGCTCTGGGTGGTGGGCATGGTCTTCCCAGGTGAACTTGAGAGCCGGGGTGGCAGCGGGGAGCTGCCACGGGGCACCAGGGGACTGGGGGTCCTTGAGCTTTGAGGGGACAGGGGCTCCCGGGGAGGCACCCGGGCTCGGGGGGATAGGCACCCGGGGGGGCACCTGGGGCTTGTCATCGCCCACGGGGCTGGGTGAGAGGACCAGCGAGCTGGCGGGGACCTGCAGCCTCAGCATGCACTCCTGCTGCAGAGCCTGGAAGATCTCTGCGGTCTGGGCCGAGGTGGGCGGCTTGCTGCCGCCCTGGGGTGGGAGGAACAGGTTGTCCTCCAGGGGAGCAAGGAGCCGCGCCTGCTCGGGCACGAAGCCGTAATTCGTCTCACCCTGGCTGGGCCCAGGAGAGACCCCGGCGCCCACCAGGGTGCTGTTGATGGAGCAGACTTCAAAGTCATCCTCGTCTTGGGCCACATCATCGTAGGCGGGGGGCGGCGGCAGCGGGCGTGCGTCCCAGTCCACCACATACGCCCAGTGGGGGAGTACGCCCAGTGGGGGAGTACGCCCAGTGGGGGAGTACGCCCAGTGGGGGAGTACGCCCAGTGGGGGAGTACGCCCAGTGGGGGAGTACGCCCAGTGGGGGAGTACGCCAAGTGGGGGAGTACCCCCAGTGGGGGAGTTCGCCCAGTGGGGGAGTTCGCCCAGTGGGGGAGTACGCCCAGTGGGGGAGTACGCCCAGTGGGGGAGTACGCCCAGTGGGGGAGTATGCCCAGTGAGGAAGTACGCCCAGTGGGGGAGTATGCCCAGTGGGGGAGTACGCCCAGTGGAGGAGTACGCCCAGTGCGGGAGTATGCCCAGTGGAGGAGTATGCCCAGTGCGGGAGTATGCCCAGTGGAGGAGTATGCCCAGTG